TTAGTCTACAGTTTAGACAATAATTTGATATCTAACCGAGTCTGATGTAGTCGTGAATGGATCTTTCTCTAGAATAAGACTAGACTACACATTTTTAAATTTTCTCCCTATGTTCTTTCAATAGAAGCACATATACAGACATATTCCATTTTCGAAAATTCTACTATTATGAACTTAATATAACTCTAGTCTTAGCATTATTACAAATAATGCATTGACAATAGAGAGGAAGAAATTTTTCACACATAATATCAAAGAGTTCCTTCATTTAGTCAAATATAGTGATCTAAACACAGAGAATATATGCACTATAATTCAATATATATTTTATCATTTCAAATGACTTCACAGGAAAGATCAGTTTTTTTTGCATATTTCACAGTACGTCACAGAAAATATTTTTATAAGAGAATCTCAATCATTAATGCTTATTATTGGTTATGTCAACTAAAGAGGAAACTTACAATTACTCCAATTTAACAAAGTGTCTGGGTTTTTCCGTCGTCGATAGCGAAAAAAATTGCGTTGCCTGACATGTTTAATCGGAACAACCGATAAAAAAAGTTATGATTTAGCTCTTATTTTTCTAGAAATGAGAGGAAAAATAAATAACATCTGCCGATAGTTGGAACAGCGCGTTATAGGAAAGAAAAAAAGAAGATTCAATATCGGGATTTTTTTCCTTTCCAATAGACAGAAAAAGAATGGGATTTTCTTGCAACGATGAATCTGGAATGTAAAGAATCAGAGAAAGCAACGAACGCATAGAATAACATAACGTCATTCTCTCAATTATCAATGGCAGAAAAAAAAAGTAAGACAGTCTTAAATATGACGAACGATGGTAATATTTTTGAAATGGCAGTGGAAGAACCATCCTCAATAAAGATTGAATCGCCACCATCGATAAAGTGTACTTTCTTCATGTGGTTTCGACGTATTTTCACTCTTGATAGTGTACCAAATCAAAAGCATCACCATCCAGTGTTCATTATCATAATGAGTATTCTACATATTGTCCTTTATCTGCTCACGTATACTTCTAGTTCTGAAGACGATCATAGCTTTGTATCAGCCCTGTATCGTCTTGGCCGACTATATATACCATGTATGCGACCAGCAGTACACTATATTCGTATGCATAGTGTTCATTGTCCACCATTCATAAAACGTGACATATGTTATTATGATGATGTAGTCAAACACGAATGTTTTTCTGTTGCCTATCCACATCAAATATGGCGAATGGTAACTGTTAGTTTTTTTCACTTAAATTGGCTTCATCTAGTGAGCAATCTCTCAGCACAACTCGTACAAGGTATTCCACTTGAACGCAAGTATGGTACATGTCATGTTCTGGTCGTCTACTGGCTTTCAGGATTAGGAGCTAGCTTGCTAGGCTCGTTCAGACTAGGAAACACATGTAAGTAGTGTTCTTGACATAGGAAGTATTGTTAGATGCTTAGAAAAAATATTCTACATTTACTGCAGAAAATCATGACTCCTCTGCATAGTACAGATTTTTATGCAGTAATCTTCTTCCCTTAAAAGAGGATTAATTTATGTAGCATATTGAAAATACGATCTTTGCTTGATAATGGAGAAAATAAAACGATATGTATTTTATTCTTCTCAGACAATAATTTACAATTGATATCCGTATAAGCAAAAAAGAAATTCTACTCTATCGAGATTTATTGTTCGTTTCTCCTTTCAGTTTATCTGAATAGTTTTTAATCATATTTTCAATAGGCTAATATTGGATGTAATTAGAGACATAAGTTAAAATGTTTGCGCCAAATTTCTTTCCTCTATAGCATTCGTTTAGAGTGTCAAAGATTGATTATGCAGATTCATTATGATCAGCAAAGTGTATTTATTTCTCTAGGGGCCGTTGGAGCTTCTGGTTGTCTACATGGCCTAATGTTATTCTTGGTTGTGGATCGAATTTTTGCATCAAAAACGAATAATGGTTGTCGTCTTTTCGCGATCATACAATTAATTTTTCTTGTGTTACCGTATATGATTACTAGCGTGGCTCTAATTATTAATTATAATGTAGCACATGACGCTCACGTGGGCGGCGCTTTGGTGGGCTTTCTTCTCGGTATTCGTATGATTGGCTGCTCATTACTGTTTATTTGCGAGGAAGATGATAGATGTAAAATGATATGTCGACGACTAATGATCGTGCTTCTTATTCTATATTTTGCGATAACTTTAACAATATTTTTCCAAATCAGAGTACCCATAGTCAAAAGAATCGAATTCCACTATCCTTGGCACAACCACACAATCATTAATCAGGAATTTGAAGCATATTAGCTGCCATATGACTTTTATACGCATTGAAACGCTATTCATCATTTGAAAAACAATCTTTGTCGAGATATTTGCCTATCCAGTTTCGGTTTTAATACGTATTATAATACGGAAAGCAAATTAATCCGTCAAGGTACGAACATAGTGAATATGTAGAACTCATCTACTCTCTTTTATTAAAAATCACTGAAAGAATGCACCAAAACAAGTCACTATCACAACGCTTAGTTAAATAATGTCAATTGCTGGATATTACTGTGCATTTCAAAACGAAATACATTCTTTTGTTGTTGGTTAAGTTGTTCGATAAAACTTTTAGTTATCGAGTTCGAATTTTCATCGCTAGACAAAACACTCAGTCAATACTTTTGTGTCAGAGACTTGTTTGATTTCTTTTCTGAAGATATTTTCAGTTTTATTCAAGATTTTTATTATGAATTGTAAACTTTTCGAATCTTGGAAATACAAATATCGATGAAATTTTCTCATTAGAACTTGATGAAGATTAAAACATTGACATAATTGAACTTTTCGATGCACTCAGTCTTTTTTTGCACATCGTATGCAACGTTCGAGTAGCTCGGTGTTATCATTGATTACGCATCTTGCTGTTTTGACTTGTTTCAGAGTCTGTCAAACATCGCTGAAAAAAGTGCTAACATCACAGAGACTGTTTCATAGAACACTGTTATCTTAAATCAAGAAACCTTCGATTAGAGAAGCGATTTGTATTTGTAAATGAACATCTTTGATGTGTGGATTGTTACAGAGAAAAGGAAATACAAATCCCATAATGATTTCCAGAGAAACATAGCAATCAGGAAATTATTGTCTTGTAACAAAAGAAAAAAGACAAAGGGTTTACTGAATGCAATTATTTTTAGATAAATCTCACACAATCCGAACATTTTGTTTACAAACCTTTGCAATACACATTCATTTGCAAACTTTCTCATATTTCTTGCACGGAGTGATGGACAAATTCAATTTTTTTCTAAATATTGATTAAAAAAACCCTTGAACAATTCCAAATATTGATTTTCAATATTTTTGATTTTATGTTGCTCGTAATCAAGTATCATTTATTAGATTTACATCATGAATATGAACTAGTTTCTACTACTACAATAGTACATATCGACCATGATGAATTAATTTGATACAGATGAATTCCTACAATAAAACTGTTTGGAACAAAACATGTATGCTGAGAGAAGAGACTTCGAACATACAAGTTGTTAAGCAACTGAAAGGTATGAATGTTTGCTGTCTCTTCGTCTTTATTTAAATACTCTCACCGTTTTCAACACTCATACTGTCGATAGATCAAAATAGCATATTTTTATTCTTTTCAATTTTATTATTTAAAAAATCAAATGTTGTTTGGTTATTTCGTTACTCTGCAGACACATTGTATTTATATAGATGTTTATTTGAATTGACAACTTCGGTGAAAAAATATCTTTGTAGAAATGAGCAAATAGTTTAAGTTGATATACCCTTGCACATTTTCTCTAGTTCAAATGGGAAATGTGGTTCTTCAAGAAAATAAAAACTGTCTCCTGATTCTCTTTCTTCATATTTAATATCCCTAACTCTGTTCCAAAACTGATGATCAACATTGCCTTGATAAGTGTGAATTAATTCATCCAAGATAGGTAGGAGATCTTCAGTATAAGTATCGAAATCATACTGATGTCCAGTAGATACTGTCAAATTCTTCAGCTATGCCATTTTCTGATCCACGCAGAATATTCTAATCGTCCAATGTTTCCATGAAATGGACACTAGGAATGTCACACTCTCTCAAATAATAATCGTACTTTAAATATTTCTTAAACGTAGACATAAGGGTCACACATGAAAGAAATGATTCAATCATGGTAGTCGTCGAAAATGTTGATGTAAGTAATGATGCGACTTATTCTTCACATTTTTACCTATTGCCGCTGACATGTAGTGGATGGAAAGATGCAATCAACCAAGCTCTCTACTCGAATCGCTTCAGATAGAATCCTAGTTTTTCCTTTGCTATTCTTCAATTAGAAACAACGCTCGGAAGAGTCACTAGCAGTTTTTTTATAATCGTCTATCGTTGAATGAAATGTATCGAACCAGATATGATTTTGTATTAACTGTGGTATGCTATTATGAACTTTATTTTATCGATACACATACTGCAGCAATATTGAGTATCTCAGCAGAAGAGTTTGTGTACTTGTATACTTGTAAAAATGATCCTCTATACTCAGATTAATTCTAAATATTCGTTGTATGTGCTGAATTTTTTTTGTCACTATGAATGACTACACATATTTGAAAATTTTGATAATACACTATCATCACAAGTAAATACTTCTCTATTAGTGTAGGAAAGAAGCAACAGAAAAATATTTCATCTGGATTCATCTTAATGTTAAGCTTTTAGATGATCAAAAATGTATATTATCTAATTATTCCAGCAGCTGAAATTCCAGGTATTGTACAAAAAAACTATACATTCATTCTTCATAACAGAAAATTTTTGTTAATTTGATTGATATCTCGATGCTTTCTTAGAATGTGAACAATAAAATATTTCCTTTAGTTCAATTATATTTTCTTATTAATATGATAAATCTATTCGATGATCGAAAAAGTACATTATTATGTTGCTTTCTAAAAAATTCATTCAATAGTCAATATTGTGCAGTTATTTCTCTTGCGTTTGGCTCTCTTGTCACGAAACGTGTTGTAGGTAATGCCGTAGGATGAACCAATTGTGTCGGTCGATACCAACATGAAAAAATGTTTCTGAGCCGCCATGATTTTTCCATTAATGAAGCAAGGCAGACAAATGGAAGTAGAAATATGACATAATACGAAAAAAATCGTGCATATTGTTTAAAACCATTACTAAGTTCGTAATGTATGCAGCACAGTTCTGCCAGTTCAATACACATGATTGGAATATAAAGAACAAAATAGAGAAGAGAAATCGACAGTAATTGAATTGCCATTTTTCGATGTTTTCGCCATTGGACAACTTGATGCATACGACGATTTTGACGCAAAACTCGCATAAGAAGAGTAATGCTAAAGATCACAATTGTTAGAGTCGGTATAATATTATGTGTAATACTATCCCATGTGCCAATCAACTTTGAATCGTGAAAGCAGAGTTGATGGCCACACATCTCTTGTGTATAATCATATTTATTTTCACACGGTGGAAATATGATGACAATAAAATGAAATAAAATAATATAAGATACAAGCAACGCCAACGGAACATAATGAATGAGAAAACGCCTTCTGGTGCTAGATAACCATTGATTATGAAAGATAAGTATATGTCGTTCAATCGATGCCCAAGCAACAGCTATTGTTGAAACAGAATACAATGCTTCATTAATGAACATCCATATTAGACATAAACTTTGTGTTGCAGGCCAGACAGCGTCTAAACGATAATAGTTGAGAAATAATGAAATATCTATAAGCTCATAGATCAAATTATTGAATAAAAGAACAATAATAACATGATTATGAATGGCACGACGTCGAGTTTGACTAGAAAGCATGTGGTAAAGAATAGCAATCGAACAACCAACGGATGGAATAAGAGCTGTTAGAAATAGCCAAAACCGAACAGGATTAGATAGAAAAGACTCCATGTATTTGATCGTTGAATAATAGCCTTTTTTGTCGTTGAGATTAAACCAACTATGCAAATAAAAAAATACAACGTCAAATAACAAGTATCTTTGATAAAAAAAGAAGTACTTGCAAGAAGAACTTGTTTCTCCTTTCATTCATCATTACTATGCAAATTCGCATGTTTCT